CGGTCCTTCCTATCCCTCTTGATCCTCCCCATCCCTCCCGGTCCTTCCTATCCCTCCCGGTCCTTCCTATCCCTCTTGATCCTCCCCATCCCTCCCGGTCCTCCCCATCCCTCTCGGTCCCTCCTATCCCTCCCGATCCTCCCCATCCCTCCCGGTCCCTCCGCCGCCGCACGGTGTCCTCGGAGCTCCGCGGCGGCAGGAGCAGCCCCGACGGGCTGCGCAGGTTCCTCCCGAACCCTCCTGCACCGCACGGAGCAGTGACACCCCAATCCCATCGGGATCTCCCTCCCCCCAGCCCACGGAGGGATGGGACACGTCGGAAGGGAAGCAGCGCTGGGGACGTTGCTTTGGGTTGGAGGGACCTTAAAGGCCATGCAATTCCCCCCCATGCCATGGGCAGGGACACCTTCCACTAGCTCAGGGTGCTGTCTCCATCCTCTCTCATCTTCCCATCCAACCTGACCTTGGACATTTTCAGGATGAGCAGTCTATGATTCCACACTCCCAGCCCACACTGACCCCCCTTCTCTCCCTTTTCAGCCTGTGTCTCACATCATCATCCCAATCACAGCCCTGACAAAGCCCAGAGCACAGATCAAGCTGCTTCAAAGGCTTTTCCAAAGACAATTTTTAATGGTGCAACTGCTACAGGCTGGAAATGCATCCTGAAGGTTCGAATAGTCCTCCCCAAAACTGCCTGGGGGGAATGAAACCAAAGAGGAGGCAGTGGCCTGGGTCATCTGGATTTTGCATCACCCAAGCCACTGTCTGTCCCTGGAGGGGGAGTGTGCCAGAAACAGAGGCACAGCTCTGAAGGAAGATCTCAAATCTTTTAAGTAGCTAAAAAACATGTTGGAAAATTGTAGGTTGAGGCCATCTCCACACGAAACCCATCACAGGCAGTACCTGTGCTAGTCCTGTGCCAAAAGTAAGGTCTTCCCTCTAGCCAGAACAGTCCCTTGGGAATTCATCCTCCTGGGAGCAGTGGCAGTCCCTTTCTCCTGCCTCTGTCAAAGTGACAGGGCAAATGCTACAGGTTTGCAGGAAAAGCCTTGCTAGGAAGGCAAAACACCAATCCCCTGGATTTGGCTGCAGGTTGGGAGTTTCCCTTGTTGCAAGCCAAGGAGATCTGCACAGGGTAACACATAGAGATCCCAGGATGCTCAAACAGTGCAACATCCCCAGAGTCCTCCCTGAACCACCACTGACCTGCCTGGACAGCCCCAACACCTCCAAACCTGTCACCTGTGGGTCAGGATGGCTTGCAGGGAGGCAATTCCCATGCCCTGATCTCCAGAGTCCTTCCTGCAGGCAGCAGACACAGCACTCTGAGCAGTTCCTCCTTCCCCATGGAGCTCTGAAGGTGAGCCCTGGGCCAAGTGGGGGCTCCAACAGCAGTGCCCAGGAGGGAAGAGGACCAGCAGTGACTGATCCACCAGCAGTGACTGGTCCACCAGCAGTGACTGGTCCACCAGCAGTGAACCTCCAGTGCAGTGACCCTGGAGCTGAGCTCCCAGGGCAGCTCGGGTGGTGCTCACCCATCCCCAGGAGCTGCCAGGACCAGCACGAGGCTGGTGCTGGGGCCAGGGAGGGGCAGAGTCCTCCTGCAGCAGGATCACAGCTAGGAATCAGCCAGGCACAGAGCCTCCACGGCCGTGCTGAGGCCCTGGCTCACCCCTCCCACCACCAGCAGACAGCTCCTCAGCACAATGCTGGAGCAGGCACAGCGTGGGGTGGGCATGGGGGGCAGCATCTCCCACTTGTTCTTCTCGGGGTGGAAAGCTTCTGTAGACTCCAGGACGGTTGGTTGGTTCCCTGGAAGCATAAATTAAGGCATTGGGTTAGCTGGGAAGCAGCAGCAAGGATCCCTTGTGTGTTCTGCATCCCATGCCCTGTGGGGGCTGTTTTCCCTGCTCCCTCCAGTCAGGGATGTTTCCTCTCTGTAATGCCAACATGACTCACTTTTGAAGTGTCTCACCTAGTCCTCCAGCCACGACAACTCTGCCTTTCAGGTAGCCAGCCACAAAGTCTGCTCTCCTCTTCTTCAGGTAGCAGGAGCGTTCCATCTTCATCCACCCACCTGGCAGGGACAGGACACACTGGGAATCACAGGAGAATCCACTCCTGGAAAACCATCTGCCTCACAGATCTATTTGTCTGGGGAAGTGCTGCACCTTGGGGTGAGAAGAGCCCATGAGATGGGTCAGGTTCCTCTCCACCATGCCAGGAACAGCTTGTTGGATCCACCTGCCTTGGGTTCATGATGTTCCCTTTTCACTTCTTAATCCTGACTGGAGATCTTCCTCTAGGCACCAGCAGTGCCAGGACTCAGCAGATGAGAGCTGTGTGCCCTGGAGGACAGCAGAGCCCCAAACACAGGGTATTCCCCCACCCTGCCCCTCTGGAGAGGACAAGGACAATGCTCACCTTGTTCCATGTCAAACATGTCCACAGTCCTCATGAACTTGGGCTGCCTGTAGAGTCGTCCCTGCCTCAGGCCCCCCAGGCTGAAGAGCTTGTCCTCTGTGGGCACAAAGCTGGAGAAGGCCCTTTTGTTGGGAATGTTGGGGAACTTGGTCCACGTCCTGGTGTCTGTGTCAAACACCTCGAAGGCATTGACAGCATACTTGGATTGCCTTCCACCTGGGACAGGGAGAGGAAAGGCTCAGCTCAGCTCACAGCAGGGACCACAGGAGCCTCCTGGGGCAGGAGGACAGCAAACCAGTCAATGGGATCTCCTCAGGAGCTCTGAGCCAGGTAACTCCTCACCCTGGTGCTCCCCCTCCTTTAACTGCAGGTTCATGGCATGGCAACACTTCATTTCCTAGTGCCTCACCCCCCTGCACCCCCAGCAGCAGCCACTGGCACAGGAAGGTGTTTAGTATGCACTGGTTTAATCAGGACAAATTCACAGCAGAGCAGGGATCAGTGCTCAGGGAACCTTTGCAATTCAGATGAGCTCAGATCCAGCGAGCCCTGGCCTGGCTGCCAAGCTCCTGATGGAGCTGGAGAGCCAGAGCAGCTGCTGCTCCCACTGCCAAAGATCCATATTATTCTTCCATCCATCAGGCAGATGAATACAGCTATTCTCAGCTCAGATGCCTTTGAAGGCAGAGCCTGTGCTCACTACTGGGCCCACAAACTGTTCCCCAGCAGCAAGCAGAGTGCAAAAAGAGATCAAAGCCTCTTTTCTGGTCACCCCTAAAGCAAACCAGGGCTGTCTGGTTGTCTGAGAAATCAGGATTTCTCTGTTTTGATCCTGATGTGCCATTTGCCATGAGCTAACAGCAACGTTTCTCTGCCTTCCTTTCCATCTCTATAAGGCAAAAACCTAATGAAAATCATCCCCTGCAAAGAGCTTGGTCCAGCATTTCCCAGGCCTTCTCTCTGCCCAGGGCAGACCCTTTGTGAAGCTGCTGCTATAAAATGCAGAGAATTATTTATTAAAGTATTCTACTCATTAGTTGAGTCCAAGAGCTTTCAGTGCAGTCACAGGGGCTGCAAATCAAGCAAGGAGCAGCTGTACCCTGGGCTGGTTTGGGGAGGGGGATAGGGGAGCCCACTCACCCAGCACTGATCTGAGAGCTCCAAACCCAACTCAAAAACCCACAGCTGGAGGTGAGAAAGGAATGCCTGAGAAGGCAGGTAGGGATGGAGAAGAATAGCCCCAAACTCATAGTATCGTAATATGTAAAGGGGTTGGAATGGAGCTGAAAAATCATCCAGCCCCAACCCCCTGCCCTGGGCAGGGAGACCTTCTACTAGACCAGATTGCTCAAGGCTTTATCCAGCCTGGCTTTGAGGAATGAATCATGGAATGGTTTGGGTTGAAAAGGACCTTAAAACTCATCTCATTCCCCCCTACTGCCCTGGGCAGGGACATCTCCCACCAGAGCAGGTTGCTCAAGGCTTTATCCAACCTGGAATGAAACACTGTCAGGGTTGGGGCAGCCACAATAAAAAAATGAAACCCTTCCAGGGAGGTTTCTTAGTGCTCAGATTGAAGGAGCTGCTGCCGAGGAGGAGGAGGAGGAGAAGGAAGAGGAGGAGGAGGAAGAGGAAGAGGAGGAGGAGAAGGGCTGGTTCTTACCCAGCACATAGATCTTGGTGCCTCTGAGGAAGGAGGTGGCAGCATAACGAGGGGTTGGCATAGCTGCCAGGGACACCCACATGTCCTTCAGCATGTCGTAGTGCTGCAGGTAGTTGTGAGGCCTCAGGTCAGAGCCCATGCCACCAGCTGCATACACTCTGTAGTCTGCACAGGGCAAGGAGCAAATTAAAATCCCACAGTATTAACACAGGAAAAGCACCACAAATTCCTACCTGCAAAACCACACCAGGCTGACCCTGCCTGGTCAGTCAGGAGAGCTTAGACTCCGACAGAAAATCATCTCCAGGATGGTAAATATTGGGTTTAGACATTCCTGGATGGGCAGATTTCAAACTCCCTCGAGCAAACAAACTAGAGATGTCACAGGAGCTGCCTGGAGATTAGGTTGCCATCCCAGGCAGGGCAGGAGCTGCCTGAGCTGGGGAGCTCAGAGATGTCTCTTCAAACCAAATTCGATGGCTCCAAGACCTTCACTCCAGCTCCAAAGCTCAGGCAGGTCCTTCCAGCCTGGCTATATTCAGCCAGCACCACTATTTTTCCAGCATTGGCAGCACTCAAGGACCAGAATTTGCTACAGCTTCCTGAGGTAGTTGGATTTGAGGCAGTGGAGCTTGGACCAGTCCCAAATACCCCCAGACATTAACACAGTCATGGCCCTCATGGCTCCAGGGCTGATGACACAGAGCAACCCCCAAGTTCATCTGCTTTCAGCCACCCACAGAACATCTTTAGCAGGTGGGATGTGCCAAACACACAAAGGTTCAACTTCTAGAAGCACAGAAAGGGTTTTGGAGGAAGAACAAGGTAACTCTGTGCCATTGCCCAAGAAACCTTTTGTGCCTGATGCACCAACTGATGCCAACCCTGCCCATCCCACCACCCACAGCTGCCCCCCCTAGCCCTGGCAGGTCCCTCCTTGCCTTTGGCTGTCACTGAGATGCCCATAGCTGCCTCCCTCAGGGAGCTCCTCTTCTTCCACTTGCCCTCGTCGATGTTGTACATCTCCACTACCTTCAGCGGCATCTGATTCACTCCAACTCCTCCTATCACCATGATCCTCTTGGCCAGGGTGGTGACAGCCACCCCAGCCCTGGCTGTGGGCATGGGGGGCAGTGAGGTCCACTGGTCAGCCTCAGGGGAGTAGACCTCAAAGGAGTCCATGGGGACACCGTTGTCATCGCAGCCCCCGATGGCAAACACTTGTCCTCCTGCTTCCACCAGGGTGGAGTAGACCCTGCGGCTGGGCAGGGGGGCAAGGGATTTCCACTGGAAGTCTTTGGTGTTAGCCAACTCCATGGTGGCCACAGGGGCCAGGCAGCAGCTGTGCCTGACCACGGGATGGGTTGGCTATGCTGCAAAACAGAGAAGAGAATCACAGAGTCATTGAGGTCGGAAAAGATCTCCAGGATCACCAAGTCCATCCCCCACCTCCAGGGATGGTGACTCCACCACCTCCCTGGGCAGTTCCAGTGCCTGACAGTCCTTTCCCTGGAGGAATTCCTCCTGATGCCCCACCTGAACCTCCCCTGGAACAGCTTGAGGCTGTTCCCTCTTGTTCCCTGGGAGCAGATCCTGATCCCACCTGGCTGCACCTCCTGGCAGGAGTTGGAGAGAACAAGTTCTCCCTGAGCCTCCTTTTCTCCAGGCTGAGCCCCACCAGCTCCCTGAGCCACTCGTGCTCCAGCCCTTTCCCAGCTCTGTTCCCCTCTCAGAACACCTCCAGCCCTTTCCCAGCTCTGTTCCCCTCTCAGAACACCTCCAGCCCTTTCCCAGCTCTGTTCCCCTCTCAGAACACCTCCAGCCCCTCAATATCCTTCTTGAAGAGCCAGAGGAAACCAGCAGAGCCACCCAGAGTGCCAACCCCCCTGGCCTGGCAGAGCAGAGAGCAGCACATCCCTCCTGCAGTCCCTTGTCCCCTGTGCCACCCCCACAAAGAGCCACGGGGACCTTTCATTGCATCTCCATTAGTCCTGCAGATCCAGAAATGCCTCAGGAGCTCAGGCAGAGACCGAGCCTAAAAATAAAACAAAACAAAAGAGGTGGGAAAAAAAACAACCCCAAACCAAGCGAGAAGGTTGGAGTCAGTTCGTTCTGCTGCTTCCCAAGCGTCTCCACCCCCGAGTGACATTCCAACCCAGGAGCTCTGAGCGTCTGCTCACTTCCCTGGCTCTGTTCCTGCCTGCTGGGGAACACAAAACAAAAGAGGTGGGCCCTGACTCGATCGATTCTCCTCCTGATGCTGCTGAACATCCTCGATGCTGCTGAACATCCTTGTGCATTCCCCTGGGGAGAAGTTGCTCCACTAACCCACAGCACCCACCACTCTCAGCTCCAACCCAGCTGGAAGGGATCCCAGGGGAGAAGTCTAGCTGAAAACTCAGTCTTTGTTTCATCTTGAAATGTCATTAAGCAAGATGCAGAGGAGCTTAATTAGTGCAGGAGGACAGAGAGGGACAAAGGCAGCGCTCGCTCCTCGCTCAGCGTGGAGTAAGGGTTGGGTTTGCTCTGAGCATCTTCACCTTCACTGTGTAATTGGCTTTGTCTAACAACTGTCCTTAAAACAAAGTCAGGAGTGTCTCTGCCCTTGCAGACACAGCAGCAGCTCCCAGCACGTGCTGCCTGCTCAGATATTTGCAGACAGGACTGAAGGGCACAGTGAGCCACTGCCAAAACCAGCCCAAAGAAGGGACATTCCTGGCTGAGCTCTGCTCTGGTCTAGGACAGCATCATTCTCTCTTCTCCCCAGGCACAGACTCCCAAGAGTTTTCCCCGTGGGTCCTCCTGAGTCCTTGAGAAAAGCCTCCCTGGCAGCACAGTGGGGTTGGCTGGCTCTGCTTTGCTGCAGGACATGGTTTGGGAGGGAGCACAGGGTCACTCCTGGATCCATGTCCTTGGCTGACTCCCAGGCCAGGACCAGCACCCCAGCCCAGAGTGGATGTGGGATGGCTGCAAAGACACAGTTTGCTCCCTCCTAAGATGCCCAAACACAATTAAATCACTCAAGTGTGATGGCCTTTGGGTTCTCAAGGGATGAGCTCCTTTCTCCCAAAAAAAGTGACCCAGACTTGTTTCCTGCTGCATCAGCCAGAGCAGAGTGAACCAGGAGAGGATCTGCAGAGCCTCCAAGAAAGGAACAGGTCACCCCCATCCTGTGCCCACTTACTGTCAGGTGTGACCACAGCTCCTGAGCCCTCTGACAGCCAGAGCAGCCTCAGCCTGTAGCTTAGCAACAGCCTCCTACAGCCTCCTGTCATCACCCATCACTTGGGCTGCTCCTGCTGCTTCCTGGGGATCACAGCACGGAGCAATGGGTGGATCTCCCTGGGAGGGGAGAAGCTTCTGCACACAGGGCAGTGGCTGATGCTGCACCTCAGACTCCTCCTGTGTGCAGCACATGGGGGATGATATTATTTCTTCCATCCATTTCTGCCTGTTGTGTCCCTCAGGGAAGCAGAGGGACAAGAGGTGACCCTTGGACCACAGACAGGTCCAACTCAGCATCCCTACAAACTCCTCAGCCTGCAGGGCCCAAGCAAAGGGGAGATCAGTTTCCATGGTCATGTTAGTCCCTACATCTCCTCTCAAAGTGGGAATGAGAGGAAGGTGATGGAACACAGTCCTGGAAGTGTTCCAGGCCAGGTTGGACAGAGCTTGGAGCAACCTGGGCTAGTGGAAGGTGTCCCTGCCCATGGCAAGGGGATGATTTTAAGGTCCTTCCAACCCAAACCAGTCTGGGATTCTATGATTCTATAAAGAAAATCTCAAGCATCAGTGAAAGGTCTCACACCATGGACTGAGATCCAACATAATCCCTTCCCACACAGGTCTGAGCTGGCACAAAAAACCAACCAGACCAAGCAGGGCTGTTTGTTCTAACTCCTTCTCCCAAACAGAGAGCTAAACATCATTTATTCCATAAAGAATGTGGATAATAAGCTGATTAAATCCTCTTTATTCCATAAAGAATGTGGATAATAAACTGATAAAATCCTGCCTGGGCTGTAACCCTCCAGCAGCAGGACCCAGTGTGGGCACATGCAATCACACTGGCACATCCCAGCACATCTCTGCTCCACAGGGCCCACAGGACAAAGGAACACAAAGCAGCAATAAAAAACAGCAGTAGCACATCAGATCACACTTCCCATCATCCCAGACCCTGAGGAAAAAGGGGCACACACCAACCTGGATCCTGCTCTCTCCCCTCCCTTCAATCCCTCATCACCTGAGCAGCATCACTGGCTCAGCCCTGGGATTTGGCCTTGGCAGTAGAAGCAGCTCTGAGCTATTGCTTCCATGAATAATGGATTTTCTTTCCAGGTGAATGTTCATGCATTGCCATGGACAAATTCAGCCTGGGGCAGCAAATGAGCACAGCTCAGCCAGCTCCTGTTTCCAGCAGCATCAGGGATTTGCATTCAGACATCCAAGAATATCTTTTCCTGCTTTGTGCCTCAACTCCTTCAGCTCTAAAGTGCTGGGAAGAGGCACAATCAGCATCACCCAAGTGACTGACAGACCCAGGCCCTGCCTGGTGCCAGGCAATTTCTCTGCTGTCATTAAGCTATCCAAAGCTGGAGAATAATTGCCTACAATTGCCTAAAAATTCCTTCTTAACATACTAACACAGAGTGACTCAGATAGTTGGAGATGGCTGAGAATTTTGGAGGGTGCTGGGCAGGTCCTTCATGGGAACAGGCAGAGAAAAGAGCTGGAAATTCAGCCCAGGTGTGGTCCTAAATGGGGAAGCAGCAGCTCCAGAGAGCCCTGAGCAGCAATGCAAAGCTGTGCCTGAATTCTGATGCCTTAGCATCCAAATAAGCTCCTGTTCCTCTTTTCCATGCTATTTTGAGAGAATCAAGGTCACTCTGCCACTGTACCCACAGCCTTTGTCTCTCCAGCATCACCTGCACCTCCCTGGCAAGTGATGCCAGAGCTGTGCTGGAGCTGTCAAAACCTGCTGTCCAACCCCCTGAGTGCTCTGCAGCCACATTCCCCTCCCAGGCCCAGGGAATTAGCACTTAATTACACCAAACTAATTGGAAGCATTAACATTTTTTTCCTAACTGGCTACACTGAAATCAAAATGAGGTGTAATTGCTTGGTCAGCAGAGGAGGAGATGGCAGGGACAGGGCAGAGCACACTCCAGCACTCAGTCCTTATCCTTGCAGGACAAAAAAATCTGTTTTCAGATTCTCTACCCCAGGGGCTTTTCCAAGGGGATGGACAGGGGGAGCCCCAAGCTAAGAGAGGGTCAGGGGGCCAAGGGGACAGTGGAACCTCTCAGAGCACAGGGCTGAGCTCCCTGTGCTGAAACCCTCCAAGGAAAAGCCATTCCTCCCCTGCCCAGGTTACATTTTGGAGAGCCCCTGGTTTAATGGTATTCATTACCTGCATTAATTTGGGATTTATCACATGTCCTGGTGAGTATCAAAGGGCTGAGCAGGCAGAGATGTCAGTGCTTGGTGCTGCAGAGTGCAGCTGCTTTCCCTTTCCTTCCAGTCCTGCCTCTCTCCAGGATTTAGAAGCTTTGCTGCTCCAGCTGTGAAATTTCCTCGGCTCCAAAGGGCCAGCACAAGAATCAGCTGGAACCAAATCTCCTCCCTCCAGCATCATCCTCAGGCTGATGCACTGCCCTACATAGCTCAGAGGGAAAAGAGATCCTGTCCACACCTCTCCAAGCTAAAGGAAATGCAAACAGAGCCCAGAAAATGAAAAGCCATGGATGGAGTCCCAAACCTTCTATTTTTAATGCTCATGCTGAGGACATCAACAGTGAGATATCACAGTACACAGCCACACACACACACACACTCCCTCCAGGGAGGAACTCAGGGCTAGAAACAAAGAGACCTTAACCCTCACTCAGCCCAAGGCAGAGAGAACTCAGCACAAACTGGTGCTGTACCATGGGTGTTTAACTTGCTCTGAAAAGCTTCCTGCACTCCTCAGCCCCAGCAGGGGCTCACTGTTGGTCCTCACAGAGCATCACCTGCTCCAACCCTCACTGTGGGCACAGTGTTCCTTCTAGAGACACCACAAAGATCCAGGAGGCCACCACACTTCTCCCAGGATCCCATCCCAACTCCCCTGGAACCACCACACTTCTCTCAGGATCCCATCCCAACTCCCCTGGAACCACCACACTTCTCCCAGGATCCCATCCCAACTCCCCTTGAACTACCTCACTTCTTCCCTGCATCCCATCCCAACTCAAGCCACATCCAGCTGACCCTCAGCTCTGCTAATTTCAACCCCATGATCCCACATTTCCATCCCTGGATCTGGGGATGGG